CAAACTGGACAGTCTCTACGTAAAAGAATAAATGTACACAAATCAGATGTCAAGAATTATAACATTCATAAACCAGTCGGAGAACACTTCAATCTCTCTGGTCACGCAATCACAGACATGAAGGTCGCTATCTTAAAACAAAAAAACTTCAAATCCAGACTCCAGCGAGAAACTGCTGAATTGGAATTCATTTGCAAATTGGATACTATTAATTTAGGCTTAAATAGAGACTGGGAGTGGCTAAGTCATTATGCAAGGTAGCCTATTTCCCCTTGTTTTTTCCTACGCCCCCCCCCCCCCAGATGTTCTGGTTTAACTTGGATTTAAACTTGGAGAGTGGTCAGTTTGGATGAGCTATTACCAGCAGGAGAGTGAGTTTGTGTGTGTGGTTTTTGGGAGGGGGGTGAAGGGGTGAGAGAACCTGGATTTGTGCAGGAAATGGCCCAACTTGATTATCATGCACATTGTGTAAAGAGTTGTCACTTTGGATGGGCTATCACCAGCAGGAGAGTGAATTTGTGTGGGGGGGTGGAGGGTGAGAAAACCTGGATTTGTGCTGGAAATGGCCCAACCTGATGATCACTTTAGATAAGCTATTACCAGCAGGACAGTGGGCTGGGAGGAGGTATTGTTTCATATTCTCTGTGTGTATATAAAGTCTGCTGCAGTTTCCATGGTATGCATCCGATGAAGTGAGCTGTAGCTCACGAAAGCTCATGCTCAAATAAATTGGTTAGTCTCTAAGGTGCCACAAGTACTCCTTTTCTTTTTGCGAATACAGACTAACACGGCTGTTACTCTGAAACCTAAAAGATGAACACGCACAAAAATGGGGAGAGAAGAACAGCAAAGATAGAAAATGCAGCTCTGGTCCATGCTGCTGATTTTCACTTGCAACCTGCCAGCTGGAAAAACACAGGCACAATACACGGTCTCATCAACCACTCTGAGATCTGGCAAACTTATACCAGCATCAGGATGTTCAGGGCTTTGCTTTTAGTTGGATCTTTCTGGTCACAAGCTTACAGTAATGCTGCAAAATATACAGTCTTGGCCATCTAAGCCAGACTTTTATTAGACAGAAGGCATAAGGAGAGGGATAGAAAGAGAAGAAATAAGGGGGGGGGGCGGAAAGGACACATGGATGTGGAGGGGAGAGACAAAGTATCAACATCCCAATCAGTATTCAGGATTTAGATGGAGCTACTAGAGGTGGTGATGTCATCTGGGTCCTCGGACTGGTCCATTTTGATCAGGACATCTCTCAATATCAAGATGACAAAGGCCTGGGGTCCCAGGAGATGGTAAGGTGGCAGCCATGATGGTGAAATTCACTCCAGTAGCCATTTTTTCTCTGCAAAGTTTCTTTCTTTAAAGACTGAAAAATGGGAGTGGTTGGCAAAATAGCTCATCCCCTCATTATTTGTCCACCAAATTTATCCATTTTCAGAAACACCAGTTTTGGTTTATAGATTTTTCAGTTTCACACTTTTCTTGTTTACCAAGCACGATCTTAATATAACCTTTGAGTTATTTCAGCGGGTCTTTTTGTTTTGATTAATTCAGTCTTTTTGTTTCACTTTTGCATCTTTTCCCATTAACATTTGTTGTTATAGGTTATTGTGTCGTCTTATGAACTTACACTCACTTTTCACAGCTGAGCTCACAATTAGGGTAAATTTGTAGGCCCAGTTATTACAACAGTATCCAGGCCACAGGTCTTTCAGGTCTTTGATCATGAGGACCAATATCCTGAAATGGACCTTGAATTCAACTGGCCCCCAATGTAGTGTTAAGTTTATTAATAATTGTGGCATGTTCTTGTTTCTTTGCCCCATTTGGCAAAGAGGTTGCTACTTGCTGCTTCTGGGTGCCCTTCACAATTGGCCCAGCTAACACATGTTGCGGTAGATGCACTCTTGCCTTTAAGGCAGCAGTTTTTGCAAAAGGGTATTAGGAGGGTCACAAGATGAGGGGGGAAAGAAAATGTGAGAAAGCTTCTAAGCAAACAGTGTTAGGGGCAGTGAAGCAGCATTAACTGCAACTGAAACAACAGAGCACTCTCACAGCATCTGTGGCAACACGCCTTTTCTGGTCACTGGCTCCATGTGGAGGATGCAGGAGCCAATGTGGTGAGATCAGAAAGTGGGGTGGCAGGCACGTGAGGTGGCAGGCCAAATAAAATGATCTAGTGGGCTGAATGTGGTCCCCAGGCCACTAGTTCACCGTTCCTTTTTTTTTCTTTGGTTTGGTGGTCAGGGGAGCCTCTCAAATGGGGGCCCAGTGCAAGTACGCTGAATGCACGTTAGTTAATCTGGGCCTGGCTACCCATCCATAGTTTTCAAAGTAGACTATTAAAATGCAGTGTTCATTTGTGCAAAGGCAACCTGAATACTAAGTATCGGGGGTCGCATTAACAGAGGTGAGTGCAAAGGGGATCACGCCATAAGAAGGCTTGAGAAACACTGCCTTAACATGATGAAAGCAAGGATCGCGTGGCCAGCGCTGCACCTGCAAGAAAAGGCACAATCCCATGGGCTTCCAGGATGGAAGAAGTCATGTCCAGCCATCACTTCTGTGTAATGTTCTGCAAAGGTCTGAGACCCTTAGTGCAACCTAGCCAAACGATGGTGAGAGAAAGATGGAATGGAATGACAGCCTTAACTCTGAATATTTTGCTCACCTTAAGTCAAAAAGTTCCATTATTTAACTCTTTTTTGGTATTAACTTCTAATTTAAATACATCTCAGAAAACAATCCACCGTGTCATTTAGCAGATATAACATTTATCACACTTGAAAACTTTGTGGATGAGATTAATCTGGCCAAAGTTCCCGGTGGGCATCAAAATGAAAAACTGGTTCATAATTTTCTTATATTAGCTCATTTCAAATTTTTTACAAATATTAATTTGCAAAGAACAAAGAAGAACTAAATTTGAATTCTAACCCACAATGTAATATACTAATCACACAGCTGTGACGTTACACCATGGTCCATTTCTCTGTACATTCTTTTCCTTTCTTCACAGAACTCCCCATAGCTAGCAATATTTCTAAACTGTTAGAATCAATTAATAATGGTAATGGAATACTTGTTAAAGTTTTTTTTTTCTAGCACTGTGATGAAATTGAAAAACACTCAAAATGATGAGTCATATGGTTAAGACGGTGCAAACCTGGCCCAGCTCAGCATAAATGTATTATTGTACAATGAGATGTGAAAATAAAACACTTTAACCTAAACTGAGAGTGGATCTAATTCACTTAATTTACTCTATTAAATAATATGATACATGAGGTGCGGTTATAGCTTGGTGATGTGTGCAGTATAAACACCTAGAGAGAGTTAGATTTAAAACAGAAAGAAATTAGGACATATAGAAATTCCATATACATTGATCAAGGAAAAGTAATTCCACACAGAACCTTACAGCTTCAAAATATTTAGGTATTCAAAGCTGCTGTGTGAATATAATACTTTGGTAAATCCTGCACTGACAGTATTCATGTTCTATCATATTGCCTTGTTCTATGATTCCCGCTCATCTCTCATAAATTGAGTTGGGCTCTATCAATACTTGTGATACCTCCAGGGCACACCTAGATGTATGACTCTGTAGTTGCCTCTCTTCCCTTGAATTAGCACTGAGCCAATATGCTGTTCTAGAGTCAGGGACACTGTGTTACCGGAGGTACTGCATTTCAGATGAGATATAAAATTGAATGGCTACCTATGGCCATTTTTCATAAAAACTAAAGTATTAATGTCAGTATCCTAGCCAAATATGAACGCTGGAATGTCCTACCTTTCGGTTGCACGCTTTTTGTCCTAAACTCCTTAGTGGCACTGTACATTGTTAAACAGTTGCTGTGTTTTACTCCAAAAATGGCTGCAATTCACTGTGGGATTAAATGTCATTTCTGTATCAGTTTAAATATGAAAAATGCTTTGAGAACCCTCAGAATGAAAGGAGCTATATAAATGTGCCCTTATTATTATATTCATTTGTACATATTTATAGATATAGGTCTGAGACAGAATTGATATGTATATAATAGCAGAATTTCAAAAGAGAAAAAGAAACAAATTTAAACAAGCAAGTCTACCTCATGAAATATTTCACACAGAGCTAGTGGCCTATTATTAAGGTTGCCTGAGGTTTCCCATTATACGATCCTATTTGCAGTTGCTTATAACTTTGCCAAATGTTAACTATTTGGGCTGAAATTGTCTGTGATGGGTGTCCACCTCAGGCTGAATTTATTTGGGAAATTTCAAGCAACACATTTCTGGAAATGAAGTTGGGGGAACAGGCTCAGGTCTTTCAGGATTTGTCCTGGTAGGAAGTATGAAGCAGCTGTCCCATTACTACTAAATATCAGGTGACATGTTAATGTAGACATGTGCAGTTCTCTAATATGGTTTTAAAAGATGGATTTCCCCTGCCTATTTTGAAATCTGCTTTTGTGAACCATTATGGCTAAACCTGAGTAAGATGCTGGCACATTGGTATTAGCTGCTCTGTGCACCGAAGTACACATTACATCACAACTTGGTTACTGCATACATATACATCAGTTATTGCCTTTGATATAGAGTCTATAGTGATGATAATGACAATATCCCATTTAAGTAAATAATGATGATAAAAAGCCAAAACCTTTACTGCAGATAGACTACAGTAATTTTAACAGTTTTATTGCTGTTTAAATAAAAGGTTAAAAGCAGGCCTCAGGTAGTACACTGATCTTCTCTGTAACGTACAGGAGATTGGCCAGGTCTGTTACTCTTATTGGATTTATAATTTGTTATGGTTCTTAGGGGACTTGAGCCAGGAGAACTCTGTTTCTGGACTCTCTCTGTTTGTTGGTTCTTAGAATAACTATATTTATTGATATATTTTCTAAAAAAAAGTAATGATCTGCTCAGTATAAAGCCCTTCCATCTTCACATTTTATTTTTCTTTCTTTTTTGCTGTCATCTGGCTTTTTGTCTAGTACACGGTGTGGACTGCCCTCTGGGTCACCTGGAATGTTTTCATTATCTGCTTCTATTTGGAAGTAGGCGGGCTTTCTAAGGTAGGTCCCTTATAATTCTTGAGGGTTGTGGGGGAGCAAATGATTGTACTTTGATAGCAACAATGCTAGAGTGTTCTAAATTACTAGATCCAGGAGAAAAATTAGTGTGCTCTTTTTACATGTAATCAGAGCTTCAAAGGTTGTTTTTTTTTCTAGCTAGAACTCCAGTATATCAACTTGTCTGTAGTAGTCAATATTCATAGGTTGGAAATAAGTAAATGTAAGTAAACTGAACATCTGTGTCTCTCTGAAGTAAAGCTTGCTGCTGAATCCACTTTATCAGGTTGACGATTATTTTGTTAAAAAAACATACAATATCTCTTTAGCAGATGCTTTGAATGAGTACATGAAATATGGTCCTGAATGTTCTGGGGCTGGTTTGGAAGCAGATAAAGACATTGATTAATAAGGTTAATGCGACAACTTGTTGAGCAAATTGGTCTCAGTGTAAAAATTCTAATTCAGTAAAACAAAATTGAACAAGAAAAGATGACATTTTTGCACATATGAGTCAAGCTTCCCTTTACTGTGTACTCAGTATTTTAGTTTGCTGAGTCCTTTTTCAAAGTCCTGATTAGAGCAGAAGTGTTTGCTGGAAGCATCAATGTACATATTACTTTCATACCATGTAGCACTTATGTTGATATAGTTTATAGTTAACCACATTGTATCCACAGTGACTTCTGTACAACATCCTCTGATTTTCATCCTAGCAAAACAAACTCAACAAAATCAATTTATTTGCCATATTCATATGAACATGATCTAGAACACTTTTTCATGCTGTAACCCATTAACACAAAGGAAAAACATTCTTAGAATTAGTGTGGCTACTAACATTCTCAGACTTGGCAATATTAAGTACATGGCTGTGAATTCATAGTATTATCTTATAAAAGTACAAACTTCAACTGGCTAACATGAGATCATATGTGGTTTAGATCCTTTATTATTAATCAGGAAAAGTCATCATAGTATTTGTCAAACAAAAGATCTGGTGAAGTCCATTTTATAACAAAGAAAACATAATTTAATCACACAGTAAGATATCCATTGAAAATTTGCTTCAGTATATCCAGCGATGGGTTTCTCTTTGTTTGTTGATTAAACTTCTAAATTAGAAGCTGTAGCTATTCTTCTCCCATCTGCAAATATGCTTTCTAAAAGAGATGCTGCAGCTCAACCAGGAGTTTCGGGGTTGATGCAGGAATTACTGGGCTGATGCTATGCAAAAGGTCAGACTAGATGTTGATACTGATCCTTTAAAATCCATGAATCTATGAAATGAATATAGACATCACACAAGAATGACAGACTGGTAATAAATCACCAATATAATTTTTCTTTACTACTTAGACTTTAGCATTAAAGTGACCACAAGTTAAGAAAAGTTTATTTTTATATCAGTTGTGTGATGACCTTCGCTGCTACTTTTTACCAATTGCCTAGAAAACAAAAGTGTATTACGAAGAATTTTAATACTCTAAAGTCTGATCCTTAGCTCCTCAAAATCAATAGTAGTCTTTCCATTGACTTCTATTGATCAGGTCCTCTTAGTGACCTTTTGATCAGGTCCTTAGTGATGGCTGTGTTAAAACCAGCATATGTGAATGGCTAAAGTTTTTAATTCACATATGCTGGTTTTAACACAGCCATCACTAAGGACCTGATCAAAAGGTCACTAAGGACCTGATCAATAGAAGTTCAGAAGATCATTCAGTTTCACCATTGTACTCCAATTTTGGGTGGTCTTACTAACAGTGTATGATAAATCACAGTGTAGTGGAATAATATCACAATTTTACTACTCAAAAAAAAAAAAAAAAAAAAAAAACTCAAAGGATTTAAAAAAATATTATTTTAAATTCTTGCTACTTAGGCTAACTTTCTGTGTCTGTTAGAATTCTTACATCATGGTCTAGAACTATTAGAATTTCAGAAGTTGTTTAGAACAAAGAGATGTGGAACATATCTTCCCTATTACAGTCAGTTGGGGTTTCACAGTGGACTTCAATGCGAGCAATATCTGGCTCCAACTTTGCAATACAGTAAATTAATATAGTGAGGGAATTCATATTCTCCAGTGAGCTCAGCATTCATGTCACACTCCCTGTCAGTACCTGCCCTGGGCCGGGGGAAGCTACTGATTCAACCAGCAGACCAAATTCGGTGATGAATCCTGGTCACATGCCACCTGAGGCACATTGCACATATGCTAAAAAGAATGATAAAACAATCAAAGCTTTCCAAATTTGCAGACAGTTCTGCGGCTATGTGGAAGGTTAGAGACAAGGTTATAGATGCATTCATGGGCTAGATCCTCAGCTGGTGTATAGAGACTAGCTACATTGATTTCAATAGAACTATATTGTTTATACCAGCTGAGGATCTGGCCTTTATAATAAATAGTACTCTGTGCCACAAGAGCTAAAGACTCTATAGAAATTAAATTCCCAAAGGAGAACTAATGTAATACTTACTTCAAAAGCTACAAAAATGGGGCTTTAAAGTTATTTCCTAAACAAAACAGTGTGAATTGGAATATGGACTGATCATTCCTGATGAAAACCAAACTACATCTGGAGCCCAGTTATTCCATCTGGTGCATGACACACATTTTATAATGGTGCAAATTATATCTAATAATCTCTAAAAGGGAGCACGTTTTACAAAAAGGTGCTATTTTACAATGAGAAATTATTATAAAGGCCTATTGTAGTGCTAATGTCTTCTGTCTTTGATAAAAAAATTAATCTGTGGTCAGAATGAAATCCTGAGATGACATCCAAGAATAGTGAATTAAAATAAAACCTACCCCCTCCCCTAAAATGGCAGCAGTTAAAGAGGTGGAATCCTGGCCCTTTTGAAGTCAATAGCAAAACTCCCTTTAACTTCTGTGGGGCCAAGATTTCACCCAAGGAGCTCACAGCAGCTTTAGCTTACACTTTTGCTATGCACATGGGGCCATAGCGGACACTGGTGCCAATATGGGCTGCATGGTGGACACCAGTGGAATACACTTGATTAATGCAATATAAGGCTCGTTTGTAATATGGATTTCGTATTGATATAACACAGGCACCCAACCGTGGATCAGGTATGCATGAAGATGGATTCCATTTGGTGTTCAGATGTATGCACTTAGGTGTGGGGCATTGTTACTGTTACAATTCAGTCCTGAATGGGTAATACATTGGGTATGGATATGATTTGTTCTTTCTACTCTGATGTATTTTTAATTGAATATAATCATTTCAATTTACAACGCATCTACCAGTGAGAACATCGTTTCAGAGCTGATAGTGATAATAGTGTTTGCTATTAGACATGGTACATACATTCATGGCCAAGTCTGCTGAACATTTCTTCCCATATACCTCTGATTCATATCAGTTGCTTTTGGTTAGGATCTCTCCTGGGATTGGAACTGCATACCCACTATTTACTCATCTTCTACGTTTCCACTATCTATCTGCTTTAGTTGATGCCATCAGTTGCCAATATCTCCTGTGTTATACGCAACACAGATCTCACAGGTCTAAGCTGATTGGTTTGGTTACAGGCACTAGCCTGTTTTGGGGGTTTCTGTGAGTCATAAATTAATGTATGTTTGCAGCATTAGGTAAATATTGGCTCTTCCTAATCTACCCCTATGAAACCACAATTTGCATGGATTGGATGGGATAAAAGGAGTACTTTTCACTTTCTTGTTCTTGGGAACTTTAGAACCTTTTCCACCTTACACTCTTTATTACTCCAAAAGTGATAAATGTGCTTCTGAATTGTTTGTTTTATTACAAGTAATGGGCCTTCCTTTACTTGTATATCAGGAGTAACACCACTGAACTCAATGAAGCTATACTATCATAAATGAGATTAGAGTCAAGCCCAGTCTTACTTTCATCCATTGTCTGATGCAGTTCTTTCTCTCATTTCAGTCATCTTTAGTAAGGAAAAAAGTGAAAGAAATTTAAAGGCATTTGTCTATTTTTATTCCACATACTTAATAATAGCTGTACCGTTTCCTACAGCAGAGGTCTAACACTGTATTTTTCCCAGAAAATAAAGTTCTGGCATGCCCTTCTTTATGAAGATTGTCCCCTTCTTCCCCTGCTGTTGCTGCTATGCAATAAAGGGAAATAATATGCTAAGTGAATTGTATGTAGTATTTTTCCCTAATGTTCTGTTCAAACACCAACCTTTTGAATTTTTTTAACTACTTTGGCAATAAACCTGGAATCCAATTTACTGCTAAGTTATGTTAGGAATGTTATGCAGAAACATTTCAGAGCTTCAAAATAATGAGTTTGGCCTTGGGTGGTAGTAGGGACCGTTAATCAAAAATTCTGTGCAATGATGGTATGCCCTGCAGTCGTAGTTAAACAGTAATTTCTAATGTTCGGTTAACATCAGTAGTGTATGCATCAACAGAAGCTGCATGCATTGCTTTATGATTACTGTACAGTAACTGTTACTGCAAAAAATTAGACGCATGTTCAAAGGATCATGTGTTTGTAAGTGTGTAGCTGTGCAAAAGTATATTGTCTTTTTAATATGTAGTTTACGTTATTCAACACAAAAAGAGAATAAATACAATTGATACTACTAACTTTAAAATGCACTGAAATCATTGTTACCTGTGCAGGAAATACTTAACTCATGCACTCTTAAAAATTACCGGTAATTATAGAATAGAAGAATTCTAATCTTCTAGGAATATGCTCTAGCTTTACACCAGTGTAACTGCATTGATGTCTATGGAGTTACATCACTGTAAAATTCAAGTAGCACAAGGCCCATATACTTTTATTCCAGAAGAAGCAGCTGTCTTTTGGTTTTATTTTGGTGTTTTAGATGTTAAGTAGCATAATCAGACAACTACTCAAATATACCTACTGTCTGATCTGTGATGATCCACTTTGCAGAACTTCAGTAAAACTACAGTGCCATTTAAGTTATGAAATATTTGTTCAATCTTGGAAAGAGAGTTAATCCTGCAA